TGCAACAATTGAATTGTTCACATATTACAGAGCTTGGAACATTGCCAAAATAGTTCCCATAGACATGTTCACAACATGCCACTAAAACACCTCATAAACAATCAGTAAAAAGTCATTTGTCCCATTAGAAAACTCAGATGATACAACATTAAGGTCATTTTGCTGGTAACAAAGAAAAACTGATGAAAATTTTACCACATTTTGTTTGTTTCAAAAACCTCACATACATGTAATTATTGATTTCAAAAACATGTCATCAAATTTAGTGATTTTGAATACCCAATCCAAAATATTTTTTTCAGAGAAAAACTGTTTGAAATGAACTTTTTTAATCATCTTGATAAGAATCCATGCTAAAACAATATTTCATAAAAAAATAAATAGTATGCAAATTGTTTGAGATACTGGGATACCTTTTCACCATATATCAATGTGCTAATGTTAAATTAATCAAAATTGGTACTTTAATGCATGTTTGACCCCTTTTGCAGTGTGACAAGTAGTTGGATGACTATATTTTTTTTATCTGGGTTTTATGAACATAAGTTTAAAATTAAAGCATAATGTAAATATCAAGGGAATCTGGTTTAATGGCAGCTTACTGTTATTGGATAGGTCACATGACTAAATAAACACTCGCACAGCCGGTTTTTATACTGTCTCTTTTCTCCACTCTAATATTGAAATAATGACAGCGTTGTTTTGGCATGACATTGGTCCAATGATATCACTTGCTGATTAACAAGATGAAGAAGCAATAACAATGTCGTTCAATTAACAAATTGTGTGCTGATAGCCATGGATAGCCAAATAGAACAGAAAAAAAACTGCATGAGGCGATAGGTGAATGCAATAGAAAGCTTAAACTCTCATTTTCAAATGATAACACTAATTTCATTTTCAGCACAGGTGTTTTGAATTGGCCAATGAGCGTTCTAGAATTTCAGTGGTAATATTCCATAACGATGTTATGGTGTGGTATACAAGATCAAAATACTGACAAATCGGAATTTGCGACAAATTGACTAAAAATAAAATTAAGTGATGCATATTCACAAAAACAATTTGATTGGTCGAAAACTCTCAATTTGTGACAACTGTAATCAAAATTATTTAAATCATGGCCACTTACTGGTCTATACAAAACTTAAACCACTCAGGCTTTGTGCACATGGTTTATATACTGTAATTTTTAATTACATATGGAACTGTTTATTACTCAACTTCTCTTTTCAACATTTTTCTGTTTTGTTTTTTTTTAGATTTGACAGGGTTCTATTAAAATATAAGTCTTGAACTTCAAGGATATATCAAATGAGTTTCTCATAGTGTCCTTTGATATTCTCAATATCACTTCTATATGCCAAGGGCAATTTATGAATTCTGGCCTTGAAAATCTCAACCCTGAAATTCTAGCCTTGAATGAATAATTAATATCAATAATTATTATTTTTATTATTACAATATGCACTGTAGGTGAGCTGGCACATACATGTACTATGGTAGCTTTTGGTGTTTCACGCCATTCATATATTTGTTAATTTTTCCCTTTTATGAATTATTCATATTTTTCATACAGGCTCATCAGTAAGGGTTATTATGACTGAATTTCAAGGTTCTGATGGTGTATATTTAATCATAAGAGCCTATCTGAAGATACACTGTTGTTATAACGTCAATAAGTGGGTATGTCTAAGGGAGTCATCTTATAAGTGACCCAGTCTATGTTACAAACCAAAGGTCAGCACCACAACTACAAAACAGGTTGTATATTTCCATGTGACAATAACAGGATTGCAAACACACCCATTTCTATTAGAGGTGTGTTTTTACAGAGGAACAATAGCTTAAGTGATTCAGACCCAACTCAGAACTCAAATGAATCCTTGTCAGTATCCTTTCAAACACTACACATGGTTGGAAATGATTTTAAGACGCTGCTTTTCAATAACATGTAATACCTCAAGACGATTAATAATTTCTTTAAGAGGAAGAGCTTGTTGATTTCCACCGATGTAAGTTGCTTGGGGCAAAGTAAACACTCTGTCAAGATCAGCCTCGCCTGTAATATGAATACAAATATAATAATTTAATGCAAACTGAATTTAATTACTGTAATTACAATAATTACTTTTGAAAAGAGTCAGGTTGTACATGTATAGATGTACTATAAAAGCCTTCAATAAATGCTGTCAGAAATATTCATGATTTGAATATTTAAATAAGGTTCGTTAGAACAATATTTTGGGATTTTCCCTGACTTCAGAAATTTGAAAATTTTCTTGTGAAATAAAAGTGGTAATATACACAATATTAGAAAATAACTTAATACTCAAATGTATTTGTGCAACCAAGTGCAGCATATAACCTTTGACCTGTCAGTCAAATACATGTAGGTGATTAAAGATGCACACTTTGAGTTGATTACATAATTACTGATATACTGTACATGTATGTATATAATGTATATAGCATATTTTGTAAAATACGTGCAAGTTATAGGATATCTGATCTCCTTGATGTTAAATTTCATTTTTTTATCAGGAAATACCATTAGCTATGAAGGGGAGAGCACAACAATAACAGCACTTTCAAGTAACATTTCGTAACGTATAGTACAACACAAAATCTGTCATGATCATAGCCAAATAAGATTTGTTGTATTCATAATAAAATAGTCCTATTGATCAAAAAGTCATTGTCAATAGCAAGTCCCCATCCAGTTTTTAGTGACATCGGTACCAAATAATTATGTATACTTGTGTGACAGACATGATACAAAGTGGAGCCAGTTTATTTGTGTGATTCCTTTATTCTGCCCATGACATTCATAATGCTTTCCTAGCACTAAAATGATGATCAGCCACCTTGTTAAAAACAAAATAACCATCAGCCAGCCATTTTGAATCAAATTTTGGAAAAAAATGATGTGCATCAAGGACCCTTTAAGTGTAATGGACATACTGAGTTTGAATCAAATATGTCAAAGTACGACAGAGATCCAATTCAGTAATGGCAGAAATACTTGATGAACTTTTAACACTAAAATTAGGCTGCCATTTGGCCTTTTTAAATTAGATCATGAAATGATGCATATACTTATGTACATGTATGATATGATGTGTAAAGTGAGAATATGATCGACAAAAGCATGTCAGAAATATGACCACCCTGAACTACATTTGTTTAAAACAAAATGGCCACCAGTCGACCATTTTCAATCTAATCTGAAAAAAAAAAAAATGATTTTCATCAAGGGCCCAATTTGTTCAATAGACATACCAAGCTTGAATGAAATATGTCCATGCATGACTGAGGTTTGATTCCGAAATAGCAGAAATGCTTGATCTTGATGAATTTTTAGCACTAAAATGGCCACCATTCAGCAATTTTGACTTGGATCATGTGGAACAACTACTTGTGCTTATGTATGATATGATGTGTGACATTTGGGTTGACTTTGAATGTGATCGATCAAAGCATGTCTGAGATATGGGTACATACACACAGACACTTATACTGTACACACAGAGGTGAAACTACAAGTCCCTGTTTTTGGATCACGTGCGAACGATGACCAATAAAAGGTGAGCTTGTGATAATCTGTAAGTTTGTTTATTCTTAGGTATAAGAAAAAGTTACATTTATGTTTCCTGCCCTAAAAAAGAGACGGTAAAGCGCACTGTGAACAATATCATGTTGAAATCAGAGATAGAAGGAGATAGAAATAAACACAAGGTGAGACAGACAAAAACACATAATTGAGAGCACAACGTATACCAAAGCAGATTATTTACAAATTCATCAAATTAAGCGATCGAACAAGAAGCAAGTCACTCATTGAAGATCAATTGTCATTGTAACTTACCTTAGTGTAATCATACTCTGTAAATAAACTAACGTATTTTGAGACATGTAATAAACATGTATGGTTCAATACGTATGCTGAGATCAAAACAACAATGGATATGCCCCCCTGTTTTACAAAAGACAATGATCGAGAGAGGTGTGAATTAATCAAATAAAATCATGGAAAGTTGGTGGACTGGTGAAATTTGATTTGGACCAGCCTACCCTGAATGAATTTTAATAAGTAATGATTATTTTATTTGAGAAAACTAACTAAATGAAATAGTGTCACTAATTAAAATATACATACTACCAGTAATGTCAATAAAATTAAGCTAGATGATCACATAAAGGTCAAATACTGTAAAACTGTAAAATAGCATAAGAGAAATAAAAGCATTTGATGCCCTGTTGCCATAGAAATTGAACTGTGAAACAAACTGATTGAACAGTTGGTGGGGATTTGAGTATAGAGACACAAGATTGAAAAGGATGACCTTTGAACCATCAGTGGTTGATTGTGTTCATTTATTCAGTTTATTGTTCACCGTAACTAGATTTAAATTGTGGAAATATTCTCTAACATATATTGCAGGACATTAACCTTTTAAAAGCCATTAATTTTATCACCACAATTTTAGTGCTATATATTGCAAATTGTCATATATTTTTTAACCAAATAAAAATAACTTGCCAATGGATATAGATTTTAATCAAAACATTTGAAAAATATGGAAAAAAATTATGCTGGTACAATTTATATTGACTGCAGCATTTAAAGGGACAAACTTGTTATTCTGGAATGTAATCATTCAGTTAAAATTGCACATACAATTACATAACCTAATGTACTGTAAACCATCAATGTATGTGCCCAGACATCTCGTTATTACAAACTGATCTATGCTGACCTCAATTAAACATTCCTTCACAATAATAAGAATAAGATGACAGTGAAAGATGAGCAAAGGGAAGTGACACTGTGATAATTCAACAGTCTTACCTAACCAATGTCGTTCATTCTGAAGAACCTTTTCTGCATCCAGGAAAAAAAATAATGGAAATGAACTTGGAACATGTTAGAATTTCACACTGGCAAGTACATATACAAGAACAAAGTACAAACAACTTAGAATACACACATGTATACATACAAATGATTGTAAATTGATGTATTATATACAAAAGTATAAACTGTTTATAGTCTTTACAATTTGATTCTTGTCAATTACACCTTGTGTACCTCTATTAGTGTAGAAACCTACTCAAGCCTAAAATTGAAAATACTTACAGCATACAATTATTTTAGTGATGCTGTTGCTTATCACGAATAGAAGGGAACATTTTATTTCCATGAATTGGTTTTCAAATCTAATTTCAAAAATAACTTATAAATTTAATTGAATAATTGCATTTTATGGAAACAGTCAGTTATTGTGAAACATAATTAGGTCTGGTTTTTATATACTGATTTGAATATTAAATATGGTAATGTGATGTTTACTATTTTTGGCTGCTGTACACCCAGTGTGCATGGACTGATTTGTTGAAAATATGCATCAAAATTTATAAGTTCACTGGCAATTTCATTGGTCATCAATTTTGTTTACAATACATGCACCTTGTTAAAAGTTTGGCCATATATTATAAGTAACCTTTGTGAAAATATAAGGAAAGATACTCTATAATGAGTTCATTTGAATACTTAATTCTCTTCAACTATGTTGAAAAAGTTGAAAATAAAAATACCTAGTCTAGTTTCTGAAAGATGTAAATCAAAATTCAATTTATTTTAATATGCTAATTTTTATTTTAATCTACAGGTAATTTTTAATATTTGTAATCCAATTAATGCAATTGAGCTCTTAGTTGGGTCTCTCCGATTTTCTAGTAGTGTGTGAACAAAATATTCTGAAGCGCATATACAATGTATTTAATGTTCAAATTCTCAATCAATCATGCTACTGTTCACATGTGCCACTATTAAAGATGTACATTTACTTACAATAGAAAAATATAGAATAATAGCTGCAACTATCTAGCTGAGAGCAAAAGCAGGATAGAATAAAGTGAAGTGTTAACAGTACAGGCATCTAAACTGAAAACTAAATGTGTACATAGGTATTGGAAGTGAAGAGTCAGTGAAGATTAAACAGTGTTTCAGTTGAGCCTTATTTGTCCATAACTTTCTCAGTGACATCATCAATTTCTTAAAGTTACATCGTTGACTTGCAGAATTAAGTTTTGTTACATTGGCAACATATCTTTATTTCTGAATTCCAAAATTGTTAAGTCAACATTTCTTTAAGAAAGCAGTGAAATTTCAAAGGGTCAAATTTGCCTGAGAGGACATGATAGGGCATTACACAACCCAATTTTACAGACAAGTTACATAGAAGTGACAGTACATACATACAGTGAGTGCTGCAGTAAGTGCTTATTAACAACTTTCCTCAAACCTAAAACTTGTTACAGTTTCAGGTGTTAATTAGGAAAACATACCTATACCCTGTATTATATAGGTGAACTTTTTCAATGTAAGTATTGTTAATATGCTTTTTGAATGTCTAGTCAGTGCAAAGCTGATATTGTGTAAGCAGCAAAGCAATCAACAAGGCATGGTAGTGAGAATAAAGCACACCTGCAATTATTGTCATCATAAGTGACCTTCAATAGCAATCAATTCAGTATCTGTCATAAAAACATAAACCAGAGTCTCTCCAAAGATGAATTTGAATTTTTAAACAAAACCAGGAAAAGAATTAAAATATTTATGTCCATGAATAGCCAAGATTTGGGTTTTTTAGTTTCTGTTAATCTAATCCCGATAATGAGGAATATGTTATCTGTTAAACTGATTCAAACTCTTGAACTTATGTAGTGAAATGGACCATAATATCTTGCGAATACTGTAATTGTTACATTTGGTATAAGGAACATACTACTTCATACGTCAAATGCTACAAACAAAATATATATCGAATAATACAGCTCCATCTTGCATGTA